ATATATATATATATATATATATATATATATATATATATATATATATGCATCCTGCTGCTGCTGCTGCTGCTGCTGCTGCTGCTGCATGCATGCATGCATGCATGCAGCAGCAGCAGCAACGACAAAAACAACAGCCGTAGCGACAATATCAACAACAACAGCAGCAGCAGCAACAGCAGCAACAGCAGCAACACCAGCAGCAGCAACATCAGCAGCAACAGCAACAGCAGCAACAGCAACAGCAGCAACAGCAGCAGCAACAGCAGCAGCAGCAGCAGCAGCAGCAACAGCAGGAGCAAATACCTTAAGTATATCTTCATGTATTTGTATAGAGTGTTTATTATGTACGGGAGAAAGAGAAAGAAGCTGATTATTATATTTATTATAAATAAAAACAAATTCATCCTTATTGTCTCTCTGGCTGCTGCAGGGGGGAGAGACAGGCAGCACCCATGTGAGAGTAGGGTCTCCTCCCCCTCTTGCTGCTGCTGCTGCTGCTGCTGCTGCTCCGCTGCCTCCTGCTGCTGCTGCTGCTGCTACGCGGTTTGTATGGACTGCTACTGCAGCACGAAGGTCACCCACAGCCAGTGTAGAACCAGATAATAATATAAACGCTATACACAAACAAAAACAAATAAAAATAAATAAATATAAATATAAATAAATAAATATAAATATATATATTTGTTTGTTTGTTTGTTTGTTTATTTATTTATTTATTTATTTGTTTGTGTTGTATATTTATTGGTTTTTTATTTGTGTATGTAGAACCAGATAATAATATAAACGCTATACACAACAAAAAAAAAACAAATAAAAATAAATAAATATAAATAAATAAATATAAATAAAAATAAAAATAAATAAATAAATAAATGTATTTATTTATTTATTTGTTTATTTATTTGTATATGTAGAACCAGATAATAATATAAACGCTATACACAAACAAAAACAAATAAATAAAAATAAATATAAATAAATATAAATAAATAAATATAAATAAATAAATAAATAAATAAATGTATTTATTTATTTATTGTTTGTTTGTTTGGTTCTATTTGTTTGTCTCTTTATGTATATATGTAGAACCAGATAATAGAATAAACGCTATACACAACAAAAAAAACAAATAAAAATAATAAAAATAAATAAATATAAATAAATATAAATAAATATAAATAAATATAAATAAATATAAATAAATATAAAT